CCCCCCCCCCCCCGACCCTTCGCAAGCTACAAAAAAAGGCGCGCGAAAACAAGGCACACGCCAAGCGACACGATATTTCTTCATGATGCAGCAGTACCTTGAGCATCATAGAAGGCGGGAACGAGATCGTCGGGAAGGCGGGGGCTCGGAGAGGCGTCCCCGCGGGTCGGTGAGTCCTCCTCCCGCCGGATGACAACGTCTCCCCGGCCATCGCCGAAGGGTCCCTCTGGCCTCCCCGCTGAGCATTAGGCCCGCCTGCCGAGTAAAAAACGAGCGACACACGAAAGGTTACCGATGACATTGCGTCCAATTGACCATCCTGTCGCCTTGCACCCGGAAAAAAATCTTCTTTTGTTGTTGTGCGGCCGACATAATAGAAAACGAATGTCGACATGGCTTTCATAATCCCCGCTCAAGCGAGGGCCGGAGAGCAGGCGGGAGGATACCAGTCCTCCTTCGCGACAACCACGGGGACCCCACCCTCGGGGTGCCGCGTAGGGGGACGCAAGATACCCCCACTCCCCCCCCTATTCCCCGTCACGCACCTGGGCGTGAATGGCCAGCCGAACCGTTGTTCGCGCCCATCGAGCCTTGCGCAGGCGTGACCTCTTGCCTTTGGAGGTGGATGAGACCCAGCAGCCCTGCCGCCTCTTTCCACGCCTGGTAGCATTGGTGCACCCTGTCGTTGGTTTTCCGTGAGAAACGATTTGGGATACCGGGGAGGCGGGGGAGAGGCGTGATCGTGCCAGGTGAGGAAGAGAGGCCACAAAGCGGCGACAATAAGGCACGGTTGCACTGGAAGCATGAAATTTCGATCTGTCCACTGCGCCTGCCTGACATGATCACACGTCATCCATACCATAAGGAGGATAGGAAAGGACAGAGAGACACGAGGTGGCAGCTATCATGCATGACAGAAAACTGACACAAACCAACCGCCACCTGTACCGTTTCATGAAATGTTCTAATTGTCAAACATCGATACGGCAAAACAATTGAAAAAAGCCATTATACACAGGCACATTTTTTGTTTCAGTCCACAACATAAAAACAACAATTGCTTGCCTGCCCAGCAGCCAGCTGACTTCCGCGGCGTTGAGGAGGGCAAGCGCCAGCAAGAGCGGTTCCCCCGCATCTCCCGCGAGGCCCAAAGAGCTCGCCGCGCGCGACTCCAGCCCCTTCAGCACCGCCGCTCCTTGGTTCATCGCCGCCTCCTTCAGAGGTACCTGCAGTTTTTGTGGTGGACGTTGTTGTTGACTGTACTGCAACGTACGCTGGCCGTTTTGATATGTGACAATCCCTGCACTAACGTACGTACGGAGCACAAATAATCGATTCGCGAAATGGAGGCGGCTACTAAACGTCCCCGAGCAGTTCCGAGTATTGTCGTCAAAGCTCGCGTGAAATGCGGTCACGAATCGCAAAAAAGTGACGCATTCAAGAACTGCTTCAAGACGCGACCCGCCGCCGTCGACCAAGAGCTGCTCGCAAGCGACAACATGAGCGCTACAAAGTAACTCACAGGTGACCCCAGGCCCCGAAGACCTTACCTGTCGGATAGCGACCTCTGTGAAGACCCTGGAGAGCTGCATCTCGACCCCTCTGGCCTTGCACTTCGCCTGCCGGTGGGGGGGTTGCGCAGTGCACGGTTTCACGGACAGCCGGCGTCATTGGCAAAGGGCCAGAACCAGCCCTACAACCACCTTCCTTATTACGGTACAAGTTTACATACCTCCCCCCCCCTAGCTAAAAGTTTCTCTGTACAAAGTATACACGGCGTAGACCCAAATCGCCAGCAGAAACGACAACAAACAGCAAGGCAGCGCGGTCCGACCACCCGTGCCTGACGCAACAGCCCAGGACTCAACCGGCCAACACTGTTTTATCTGTCGAGGTATTAATACTTTCCACCACGCAAGGAAGGAGAATACTTGGGCGGACACGACCATCACGAGGAGAGGAAAGCCAACAAGGGGAACAACAACGCCAGTCGCCGAAGGTGTTTCGAAAACATCAGCCCTGACTTTGTAGTCGTCAACATCACGCACGCCAAGAACGGCGGCAGCCTTCATTTTTCCCGCCGACCGCGACCCAACAGAAGGTACGACAGTCTGGGGAGGGCAACGCAACATACCTGGTGGTACACGTCGTCGGCACTGCAGAAGTAATCAAGCGCGAGGTTAAAGGCCTCTTCCGCCTTGCCGGCATACTTGGAGGTCTCCGACGCTGTGGCAACGAAAAAGAAGGAGCACGGGAGGTAGATGGGTAGATAGGGAGTGAGAGGGAGAGAGCGAGAGAGAGAGAGAGAGAGAGAGAGAGAGAGAGAGAGAGAGGTGCACGCGCACAGATACGGGATGTCCGAGTCGAAGGCACGTTAAGTCAAGTCAGTCGTCACGACTACAGCAAACAAGGGGGCTCCGTCGCTGCAAAAGGTCGGCCGCGGCACGAAGAGGGAGGGACATGCCCGACACAAGAGCGCGAGTTGAGGGACGTTCACTTGCCATCCATCGACTGACAAGGACGGAGCTATGCTATGTCGTTGACCTAAGCAGCTGAGTCAAGGTCTAAGAGGCATGCCACATGCCACACCATGAAGAAAGTTCTCGCCGAAAACTGTCAAAAGACACAAGGTCCTTGCAAAAGGACGTACTCGAATTCCTCCTGTCTTGGTGCAAGAAAACCTCCATTGCCGTACTGACTGACTGGCCTACAAGCAATCCTTCGCGAAACAAAATAGAGGAACAATTCTCCAACCAATGCTCGGCGTCCATTCCACCACCGAGATACCGTTCTGCAACGTAGTCTCTCTTCCTCTGCATCGTTCCGGGGGGGGGGTAACTCTACAACCACACCATGTAGCGCCACATGGTTTCGCGCCGAACCACCAGATGAAGGCTACGCCGCGATACCCCTCTGCAAAGCAATCTCTCTTCATCGCCGCCTGGACTTGACCCTATAACCACATGTAGCGTGAACAAAGTCTTCCGCCGAAGCACAAGTAATATTGTAGACATGCGGACTGACTGGCACCGACCTGCAAACTTCTCCCTGTCAAGCTGACCCGAGGCGGACACCGTGGAGGCCGAAGCAGTCTCCGCACAACCGGCGTCGTCCATCGCGTGCTCCTCCAGCGTCTGCGCAATTTGCAGCTGGTAGCACCGGCCTCGCAGGTACATGAGGCGGCCCTCGTTCCCCAGCTGTCGGCTGTCGGTCGAGACCGCTAGGGCGATGCCGATCCACTGGAGCGCCGACGTGGGGTCGCCCGCCGCGATGCTACACCTGAGGTTCCAGGAGTGGAAGAAAACACAACATGCTTATCCGGCGAAAGAGCGGTGTGGCCGTCTCTTGGAAATCCATGAAAGAGAGCGGCACGCAATTTAGTCGAGAAAGATAAACATCGCAGAGAAGTATTACAGTAGAGGCAAGAGGGAGCACGAAGAAATGGTGGAGGAGCGGCACTTCACACAGCAGCAATATCCTCTCTCAAAACACCTCAATCTCGACCTCATTCCCGTCACCACAATCTATATCTATATAGATATATTTTTTGGCGGACTCGCAAAAAAAAAGGCACCTGTCGCCCACTCCCCATCACCACCAGCCACCACGAAACGCCTTCAGGGGCCTCACCTCGCTCGGAGCACCAAGAAGTCCACGTTCTTCACCATGGCGACCATCTCGTAGACGTACTTGTCGCCGCCGAGCCCTGTCAACCCCCCCGCGCCCCCGCCCCCGCCGCCGCCGCCACCCCCTCCGCCACCCACCCCGCTCATGCCGCCGGCAACGGAGGGCTTGTCTCCGGCGGTCGACTCTACCGGGACCCCGGAGCCACCGCCCGCCGTCCACGCGAGCCCCCCTCCCGGCATGGGGGTGACGTTGGCGGCGAGGACGGAGCTGTGGAGACGGTATTCGTTGCCCCCCCCGGAGGCAGTGCGCCTGTGGCTGGCCTGGAAGCATAACAAACAAACGAAGAAAGGCAATAAAACAGGGGTGGGTGGGCGGGCGGGCGACGCGTGAGGAAACGAAGCGCCCGTGGCACGCACGCCCAGGGACACCAAAAAGAAGCGGCACTCAACACTCAACACCGACCACACCACTAACATCCAGGAAAACGACACACCAGACGCAACACTTAACAGTTCGCCAGCCCACCTTCAAAGGAACCACCAGATTCATGCACTAAACACCAGCAAAAAGCGGCGACCCTCTTCAAGCAACTTCATCCCAAGACTCGAGAGTCCCGCGGCAGCAAAGTGAGTCGAAACCTTGCATCTACCAAACAAGTACATACACCGCCGGACCAATGTTTCGCTGGCGCTGCGGGCGTACGCATATCATGGCCTCTTTTTTACCTGGTCCGAACTTGTTCGGCCCATTTGGCCGTAAGTCGCGAGCGCCTCGTCAGCCTCCAGCACAACCCTCTCCAGAGCGGCCTCGCAGGCCGCCACCTTGCGGAGCTATCGACCGGCCGAACACAACCGACAGAGCAGTTGGAAGGGGAAAGGGAGAAAGAGTCAAGGCCACATAGCCGAGCGGAAATCCAAAGGAGGCAGAAAACGAGAAGGGAAATGGGAGAGCGCGCGGGAGAGGGGTGGGCGTTCACAGCAATCCCTGACCCCCAACACTCTGGAAACACGCGCATCGAAAGGACGGACAAGGTCGTACCCAACGCATGGCGTCATGACGCTGCTGCAATATCAATACATGTACGAGACCTCCGTCCGCATTCACACGCGATCGATCAAGACCGAGACCCTCCATCCTCCCAAGACGTCACATCACAACGAGGCGCACTCCCACTTATGTAGAGAGAAATGCCAACCATCAACATCGACCACCACCATCATACACGAAGCGACCCAACATCGTGGAACAAGGAAAACGTGTTGAGTCGAACAAAAAACATGCATACCTTGAGGTAGCATCTTGCCACCAGGACGAGGACGAGGGAACGCTGCCCGGACTTGATCTTCCTTCTCAGGAGGTTGTTGAGAAGTCTGCACCAGCGGGGCCGAGGCCGCCAGCACAAACGGAGGCGAGAATCCCGCCCGCGTGTGTGTGAGAGAGAGAAGAGATAGAGCTTACCAATTAGAATATACAGTGCACAAAAAGCGAAAGTCAAGGACGGGTGTGCCCGCCGTACCCGCCCGAACAAAAAACGCACCTCCTCAAGCGACGCACATGCACAAGGCGAGATCGCTCGACTTGCTGTACATGTACGTAGCAGTAGCTGACACCAAAGAGCTCGATTCGACGATGTCTTGTCAAAGAATCGTGGCGATTTTGGCGGCCGGTTAGAGATCTTGACTGCTTTTGTGTCCACGCTTGAAGAGCCACTCAAAAAGCAAGATTTCCAATACCGCAGCAAATCGCTTTCACTTATCACACGCCATTCATTGCCAACAACATCACCCCACCTGAGGGCCCTCGTGTACTGGAGCGACTCCATAAGAATCTCTACCATCCTCATCTGAAGCTCGTACTGCTGTGTCTCGATAGCCGTGCCCTGCATCCCCGCCCCCGCGCCGTGGGCGCCGCCAGGCCCAATGAACGTCGGCGACAAACCTCCGCCCCCGCCCCCACCGCCCCCGCCACCGCCATACCCAAACAACGGCTCAAACGTCTTGAGGTTCACGGCAGCAGCGCTACCACCCCCTTCCCCCCGAAACCTGCCGGGCGTGTCCCCTATGCCCCCGCCCCCGCCGCCTCCGCCTCCCCCGCTGCCGCCCCCACCGCCCCCACCACCAGCACCACCCGAGTTACTACCACCGCCCATTGCTGCGTCGCCCCCTCCGCCACCTACCCCAGCAGGGCCGTCACTGGGCATGGAAATGGGGACGCCGGCCACGCCTGGCGCCCCCCCTGCTCCACCGCCACCGCCGCCTCCGCCGAATGCACCGCCGGGGTTTCCAGCGGCACCGCTGCCATAGCCGTGCCCACCCCGACCGGCACCGGCGTGCTCGAGGACGGGTACCATCGTGGGACCAGGATCGTTGCCGTCGAGCGGCCCCCCTGTCAACCAACAAGCAACGCCACACACACACACACCGACAGACAGCGAGCGATACAAACGATGGACTGTAAAAAAAGGAGTACCGCTGTGTCCTCTGTGCGCACGAAAAAGAAACCAAGTCCTACAGACGACCAGGAAAAAAACAAAACGAGCACCCACGGAGGGGTAACGCACACTTCCGAGGTATACTACGCTGCTTCGATTGATCGTCTACGGAGCACCAAGAGTTCAGCGGGAGCACGATCGTTGGGGGGCCCGTGGCGATATATGTACGACGATCAGGCGTGTTCATACCTCCCTCTTGGCCCGAGGTCTTCCTCCAGCCGTTCCCTTCATCGTCCAGCTGGTTCGGTCCAGCGCCTGACGTCGCTACACCTGCGAGGGTTGCATGAAATACCAGTACAGCAGTACACACACACACACACCACCCCAAAGTTGAGCCCCATGCACTAAAAGAGAAAGTGGGTATCAATCACACCGGAGGTGGCAAGCGGGGATAACCACGTGTGTGCATGGTCAAGCTTGGAATCGCTCCAAACAGAACTTTTGCACCTATCCTTGCAAGGTTACGGCGGTGTTCCATTCAGAGAGTTGGAAGCTGTCCAGTGAAACTAGATTGCCAGATTATACTGGTTTCAGCAACACATCGAGTTCCAAACAGCATGATGCCGCGAGCGAGCGCCCGAAGCAAACCCACCAGTGCCGAAAAAAAATAAAATAATACAAAAAACACAGACAGCGGCCATCATGCAGTTGACACGGTCAGCTAGCAACCGAGCTTAGCCCACCTGAGCGGTGGCGCAGCACGACCTTGTCCAGCCGGAGGCCGGACAGCAGGCGAGATGCAGTCGCCAGGTACGACTCCGCCTCCAAGTACCACCCCTGGTACACAAGCGAAACACAAGCATCCAACCACAAACACGCGAGGAGCGAGAGCGAACCCCCCCACACATAACACCGCAACGTGAGCGAATATGACCAGCCGAGCGACAACAATAGTAACTGTTCAAACACCCAAGACGCGGCGCACGAAATCGAAATTTAATGTACGCTACGAAGAGCTTAAGATGAAGAAGAGCCTGGCGTAACCATAAACACGCACAAACAGCTATTTGTACTCAAATGCTGCAAGTCTGAAAGGAACGAAGTGTCATGGTTTGCTCTCATAATATTCGCAATGTCGCCTGGGTTACAAAACACCAGGCCAGCGCATGCCACAGCAACCATGGAAACATGCAAGGGATCCAACATTCGGGGTAAATGTTGAGCTACATCAAAACCGCACACTGTACCAACCACTTCACACGGAAGTACACCGTACGCAGACAAGGTCCTACGGAAGAAGAGTGCGGAACGGCGTGAGCCAAGGGGTAAACCAGCGGCGGCCGCCCTGGTGGGTGCAGTCACCTCTTCCTTGAGCATGCGGCTGATCTCCTTGGCGAGGTAGACGAACTCGTTCAGGTTACCGATCTTCTTGGCGGCTTCCAGCATCCGCGAGTGGTACATCAACGCCCTGATACGATGTGTACATACACACACGATTCAAAACCCAAAATACGACGGCAACAGCAAGCACACGCAAACCAATCAAGGGTGTGCTAAATAAAAGACACCGGCGAGAGTTCGTGGTGTAGGGGAAAGGATGATTTGTTACAGTGCACGGGCGGCATCACCACACTCCTGGAACTCGCTCCGGTGACGAGCGTCTTCGTTGGCCGTGGCCGCTGCTGCAGCAAACGAGGAAGCTCGTTTATTAGGCATTCGTCAGAGCAACATCCTTACAAATCGAAGCCCAAATGTTGCAACGTTCCTTGTGCGAGCGTTGCAAACCCTCAAGACCCTGACGAATATTCACTAGTTTGATCAAATCCCTTGGAGCAGCAGTAGTTAAGGTTGCCTTGCCCTCGATTGTAGACTGAGCACGGAGGGGGAGCGGTTCCACCTCTCGAGAGGGGCTCTTAATACTCAATCCCCCGATGTATTTGTATCCCACGGAGTTGCAGCTCCTGTCAAACCGATTTATCATACGGAGAGGTATCGTTCAAATCATTTAACTATACTCCCATACCACCACGTAGCAGCCGCACAGTCGAGGCTACCAAAGACAAGGACGGACCGCGACGCGCCTCCGGCAGTTTCAAGGTACATGAACACACGCATACATCGGTGCATACTTTCCATTTTTGGCCTGCTGAAGCACACACGAACGTATCTCTATCCACAAGTACGAATCCCGGATGAACTAGCAACGGATTCATGTGAATCAGTGTTGAATCGCCAACCTGTGCTTCATTAATCTTCATGCTACTGTAATCAGGTCTGGGTAGTAAACACTTCCAACTACCAAGTATTAAAACTGATCCAAGACGCAAGACCAATAACCACAACTCCACCGAACCGACACCGGTTCACGGCGCACCTCTTCGTGTCGCCGTGTTCCCGAGTAACGCGCGTGACTCGGCGCACGAGCCGGTCATACCGCGTCGTTCGCCCACTGTACTCCCAGAAACATTCCGTGGCGCGCTCCAGAGCAAGGATGCCGTACTCATACTTAGCTGCAGCGGCGGCGGCGGGAGGGGGAGTAGGAAAGTGCGCAGCAGGCCGACGAACCATGTATCAGCGGGTAGGTGTACGCCAACGTTTTCTCGGAAGGGTGGAGACATATATTCGACGCCAGCACGAACCTAAACAAAGCCTTCTAACCTAAATTTACATACTACGAATCGTTTGCCTGAGCCGCGGGCCATGTAGCTTCCTCCACGCACCATGCCCCATTCGCCCGAGCCCAAACATAAACGGGTGAGGTGTGAGCGAGTTATGTTACCGTTCTTGAGGAGAGCGTCTCCGAGCTTCTCAAGGCAGTGGACCCCGAACGGAGTAATCAGCGGGCTGGTACCGGAATCCTCCTGCATGGGCATTCGTTCGTTCGTTCATTCATTCCAAGCGCGCCAGAAGGAAGGGGACAACAGAACCACAGGTCCAGTCAGCTTACGGGGTGGAGTGAGACAGACTACTGTGACGGACGGTACAAACCAACAAGATCGAACTTTGTCGCAGAACCCAACACAGCCTCTCAGCAGCATCAGGTCTGCACTCGATACCGATGCCCGACGCAAATTACGTGTGACAATCTAACCACCAAACTTGTCGGCACACCCACAATCCGCACACGAAACGCCCACGGTAAACTGCCGCAATAAAGTATTATATATAGTCGCCACAAGTGCTGTGCACGAAACACGCCATCACCGAAACGTTCCAAACGATCAGTCCCGTTTGGGCCTGAAACCATACACGCGCTGGACATCCCGAAGTCAAGAACAGGCAAGTAAGTATGTCCTCACCTCTGGGAGCCTGTCGAGCACAAGGACGGCCTCGAGGTGCAAAGTCTCTGCCAGCTCCGAGTCGTCCTTCTTGGTGGCCAGCAGCCCCATCGCAAACGCCGCCCTACATTAATTTTTGTGTTCGATGGCGGCGAGCGGCGTCCAGTAAGCCGCGCCGGCGGTGACAAAGATCGAGAGCAGTTTCAAAAACATACTTTATAACATGGAGGGAGCTTCCGCTAGCTGCTAGTGTGACCCCCTCCGCTGCTGGCAAAAGTCACAACGACGGATTTAACTAGGCACTCGACCTTCCCGACGGACGCCTCTACAGCAAACCGCCTGTAGACAAAGCCAACTCTGCACCTACCCCTTCCACCGGTCGACACGGGAAAGCATCAACATTGACCTACCTGGCTTTCTGGATGCAATCCTCAGGCAGAGCCTTGTAGGACGGTAGCAGCAGCTCCAGGTAAGCACCGGCATCCTCAGGTTCGGCAAGGCTCCTGCAAGCAAAGGTGGAATCCCATCGACACAACATACAAACAGGTGGTCGGCCGTGGTGCTGCCACCCTCTCCCACCCACACCAAGCCATCCTGCCTCCCTCACAACGCAGGCTCTCGGCCACGTTATCCGTCCGTCCTCACAGAACCCGCAACAACCAACACATCGCGACTGCTTTCATGCTTTCATGCTTTCATGCTTTCATGGAACTCCACGATTGGACTCGCTTCGCACGAGCAGTTGCACTACCTCAATGAGGTCGACCAGAAAAAAAAAAAAAAAACGGGGGCCTCACGATACACGCAACACGCGACGCTTCTGGTCTTGAACTTTCGTTTCGAGAGCGCACCTGTGTAAGAAGCCGAGATCCACCTCGCCGTTCTTCCCGTCCTCCCCCTTGGCCCCGCCGCCACCTCTCCCGCTCCCGTCCACTCCGCCGTGCCCCCCTTTCCCCCCGCCGCGGTCATCCTGTCCCATCAGCGCCCCAAACAGTTCCTCGCTCCTGTTCTTCTCGCGCTGGGGCTGTGGAGTCGTACCGTCCCCCATCCTCCCCCCGCCCCCGTGCGTGCGAGACATGGCCC